GTTGACTGTTGGCCAGAGTTGACCTGCATATAATTTCTTAGGGTCAGTTGTCTTGAATGATAAGAGTATTAATAAGGGTATATGGTATTATAGGGAGTCTGCAGATCGGCGGATCGAGTGCGAGTGATTTCAAGAGTTGATAGTTTTCATTACCACGAGGTGAGTCTTCTCACTATACTGTACCCGGAAGGGTTTGACTGTGTGACCGGAAGGTCGGATATGATTTGTGTTATACGTGCTATAAATGGTAAGGTATTTGCTATGTGTGTTATGTGTGTTATACGGGCCGGAAGGCAATATGTTATGTGACTGAAAGGTCGGATATGATATATGATATATGTGCTATATGTGTTAAGATTAATGTATAAATTGCTGTGTATGTTTATGGGCCGGAAGGCAATATGTTATGGGCCGGAAGGCAATATGTTACGGGCCGGAAGGCAATATGTTACGGGCCGGAAGGCATTATGATATGGGCCGGAAGGCAAAATGTTATGGGCTGGAAGGCGATTATCTCAAGGCCTGGAAAGGCGTATATGCGTAAGTAGTATACTGGGGAACTCACTAAGCATTTATGCTTACAAGTTGTTATGTATGTGTTTCAGGTACTAGCGAGGACCGTGGGAAGGCGCCGACATGATGCATACACACTGCTGCTATTTGAGATCTTGGGGATTTTATATATGTATTGATATGAAACATGGAATAAATACTATTGGTTGAATGAAATCACTTTATTTTAAAATGAAAAATTTATTTGAAAATTTGCGTTGTTACACTATCCACAGTCGATCATACTTTGGAAGTATGTATTGAGGCAAGACTGTGATGAATCTGGCTTGTAGATGTCTAAAATGTTTAGACATAGAAAAAGTTGCTACAACATTCATGAGTGCTCCTGAAATAAAATTTGAGTATTGGATTAAACCCACGCTCACCTGAATCACTTCATGGAATTTATCACGAGTGATTGTGAGATGATAATATCGTATAAGTCTTTAAACCAATATATATGAGTTGTTGACTGCAAGTTGGTTGTGCATTGATAATATGAAAACGTATCAGTAACTTAATGTTATAAAACATGTTGTTGTGTATGATTTAACAAGTAGTTAGTACAAGCATATAAGTCAAGGTTTATCTGTTCATTTTGATCCTTGGAGGATTGAAAGTGATATCTTGGGCCCCTCAATGATTTTGTCTTGACTTATGTGTCGGTCCCGGTCAGGACTCAATTGATGTGTTCAATTAAGTTCTATGTCAAACAACTCGGAAATCGGGAAACAAATTGTTGGACAATAAGTATGACTATGTTCCATGTATTTATCCGCATGATATCTTGAAGAACAGAGGATTATACGATCCCTTATCTAAAATGGCGTGTCAAAGTTCGATAGTGGATTTTAAGAGCTACGATTTCTAGTCAGTTTTAAGTCGTACATGCAACTATAGTTATTAGATTATCCAAGTGGGAGACTGTTGGATTAGGTGTCTAAGCCCATAACTATAATTGGTATGGACTTGACCCGAGAGTAGTATGGTTCATTTGGGTTGCATTCACCAGAACAATTTGATAGCATGGACATTTGAGAAAGAGGTTAGTTATGATTTATTAATATATTATAAGTATAATATATTAATGGATAAATCATATTATTTAATTAGTATTGATCAATAATTAATTTGGAATTGATTTAGTGATCAAAAGAGACTAACTAAATTAATGGGGACTAATAGTGCAAATTAGTGATACATATGGTTTGGGCTATTGATCCATGATGGACTAGGTTTACGTGAGAGTCCATGAAGATTTAGTCCACATGAGTTATGGATCATAAGCCTAAGTGTAAGAACTAGGGTTTCATATGACTCTTAGAATTCTAACACTATATATATGTAACCCATTGGCCTAAAATCGGACACACTAGTCTTCTTAGAGAAACTATAGCTGATTTTTAGTGCCTCCAAGCTTTCTCTCAAGTTCTCCAATTATTGGTGGTGTTTTGTGAAGCATTTGAGGCATCCCACTTAAGGTGCTAAGCTCTTAAAGGCCAAGTAATACAAGTTACAGCAAAAGGTAATCTTTTAGCTAGTTTTTATGATTCATATATCAAGTTGCATGCTAGTTAGGCTTCATGCTTTGAAAAAATTATTTATTGCATGTATAACTAGAGAAAACTTAGATCCAAAGCATTAGGGTTGTATGTGCACCATAAGGATGTTATAGTGCTCAAAACCCTTCACAAAGAAGCAACCAATTGTTTCTCATTTGAGTTGTGAGTTTGAGTACCGGGCGATGGAGAATATTGCTGCTGAAATCATTTTGATTACCAATCTTTTGCGTGAGCTACATGTTTTGCCTCCGGATCGTCCTACTCTCTTATGTGACAAGAAAAGTGCTCTTTTTCTTACTCAGAATCCCATCTCTCACAAACGAGAGAATCATATAGACATTGATTATCACTTTGTTCGTGAGTTAGTTGTCTCTGGACGGTTGGATACCCGCTTTGTTCCAACTTCTTTCATAGTTGGTTGATATATTCACCAAAAGTCTACCACACCCATTATTTGAGCACTTTCGTGTTGGATTGCCACTACCTCTTCCTTTAGGGGAGTATTAGTGATAAAACATAGATATTGTACTTAGAGAATAAGGAACTGAGTTTGTGAATAAACAATTATCAAGGAAGTCTATTGAAGACGATGGAGATCGGTGGTGAATTTCAAGCTAGGGTTTATGTGAAACATTGGTATTTAAATAGAACAAAACACATAAACCTATATATATATATATATATATATATATATATATATATATATATATATATATATATATATATATATATATATATATATATATATATATATATATATATTATTGGAAAACATAGTAAACGGGGAGAAAAATAAAAGGTAACTGAGTTGAATAGAAAAGTAGTTCTCTTTGTGTCAAATCATTTGTCTTCTTTTAAAACCATTCAACCAATTTGATTGTTTAAATTCTCATTGTCTTTGTTGGTTTTCATCTATTGGAATTTAAGAAATCTACAACAAAACTCTATAGTTTATTAACTGTTTAGTTTTGGTTTTATTAGTTAAACAAAAATAACAATAAAATATTATAATTATTTATATTGATATTTTAACAGAAAACAAATCATCAACGAATTATAACTTTTTTTAAATAAAACAAAATGTTTACGTTATAAATATCATCCAAAGTTTAGGGTTTTAGAAATAAGACTTGTTTTTTAATTTTAATTTACTATTATATTATTTTATTTTAATCTTTTTGTATTTTTTTATGTCTGATAGAAAATATTATTCTATTTTAATCTTATTTAACTTTAAGCATGACAAAAAGTATTATCTCTTAATTTTAATGTGTTCTATCTATTTGAAAAAAATATATTATCTTATTGTAAAATTAAAGTAAATATATTCTTAAAAAAAATATAAAAGTTACAATTTTAGTTATTTAAAAAGAACCTTTGTTAGACAAATTATATTCTGTTTCATAAAGTGAAGAAAACAATTATTCACATGAAAACTTCAATCGGAATGTTACAATCCATTATCAAACATTGAGAATAAAATAATATTAAGATAAACTTATTTTTATATTTAAGATATGATTAATATAATAAAATTATAATAATATAATATCATGAGTAAATTACACAAATGGTCCCTATGGTTTAGGGTAATTTGTGCGTTTAGTACCTAACCTATTTTTTTTAACTCGGAAGGTCCTTACTGTTTGTTTTTGTTACGCACTTCGTCTCTGTCTTACCTAAAAATACTATTTCACCCTTGATTTTTTAATTTATTTAAATAAATACACCCCCAACCTCACCCCATCACCTTACCTTACAACCCTATCATTTTTCCTATTTAAATAATAGTATTTTTAGGTAAGATAGAGACCAAACGCGTAACAAAAACAAATAGTAGGGACAGGACGCGTAACAAAAACAAACAATAAGGATCTTTAAAAAAATAAGTTATGACTAAATACGCAAATTACCCTAAACCATAGGGATCATTCATGTAATTTACTCTAATATCATCTGTGTTAAATAAAATATTTTATGATAAAATTATAATAAAAATAATCTTTTTGTCAAATAAAAAAATATCTTAACATTATAGTAAGATAATGAACATCAAAATTATATTATAAAATACTAACTTTTAAAAAACTTTTATATTTTAATCATATTTAAAAAAAAAAATCATCATATTTTGGTTTTAATGATTTGTGAACGTCTAAATTCTCAAATATATAAACAATTACAAGTTTTTTTTTTTTCAAAAATATGAAAATCATTGTTTAATTGTTAATGAATCCAAAAAGAATTTTCTTTTTCAAGTAATTACATTAAATGAAATTGGTAGCAAGGTAAAACAACAATTTTCGAAGGCACGGTAGGGACACAAAGATTTATATAATATTTGGTTTGCTATTTAAACCTTAAAAAATAGTATCTTTTTTTTCTTTTGCTCATATTGTACTAGGTGTAATACCCATATATTACATGTATTTATTTAAAAAAAATTAAATATAAAATTCTAAACATTTGAAAAGTTTGAATTTATAAGAAAAATGAAAAAATATTGAATTATAAAAGTTAAAGTTTTTTTTTTCTCTTTTAAATTAAAAAAAATTAATTAGATGAATAAATAAAAAAAATTAATAAATCTTTAATTTAATAATTTCGAAATTAAAAGAAAAGTTAATTAGTGAAATTGATATGTATTTATTATTGAATTTAAATATTATCTAGAATTTAATAAATAAAATAAAATTAATTTAAAATAACCAAAAAATTACATGTATAAAAATAAATAAGAATATAAGATGTGGTAAAAAAAAATTATTTACTAGGGATGATGATTATATTATTATTATTATTATTATTATTATTATTATTATTATTATTATTCTGTTTTGCTATTCATTTAGGCCCCCCATCATATTTCATTCTTGTTTGGGTTGGGGAAAAAGCCCAGCTGGCAATTTAAACAAAATTCATGTATCCGTCCTCCATGACCCGGTCTTGATATTGATCGTTAGCCGTGAATCGTAATGGGGCTGTAAAATGGTAGGAATTGCTTAATATCTGAATCATCACATTAAATCTGCTGCAACTTTCCCAATCTTGATTAGATTCCGATTGTTGATTGTAACCTACATTGCCCATTAGGTGTTTGTTGAAAGTTCTCAAAGAAAACATGTCGTTTGCAAGACCATAAATTTGAATATGTTATTGTTATAGCCTACTTCCGCATTTCAATTGTGGCTAACCAAGATGTTAGCTTTTATATACAGATCGTATGTGATATCGCTGTTGCTTACTACTCTGATGGGTTAGAATGAAGTCATTTAAGTTCCAAATCAGGACTGGGTTTTCTATAAGCTCTGTACTTAATCACATTGAATATATAATAAGATCATGGGAGGGACGTGAAGAGAAATCTTGATGTTTCATACTCGATTCACCAAGAGAAAAGGAAACAGAAAGGCGGTTTGTGTGCAAACCATTGAATACAGATTAGGTAATTGGTCATGGCTCATGGGTCTACACCTTTATGTAATTATCGAGCATCAAATTGTGTAATTGTGACTTCATTGACTGAAACCAAAACTTCTGGCATGATTAAGTTAGACTTAACTTCAGGGTTAGGCACTTGTGTGAAAAAGCCAGGTGGTTGTGGTGGAGGTAGTGCACCCTCACCACTCAGCATATGAATCACAGAGGACATAATTGGTCTATCATCTGCATGTTGTTGCACACATGATAAACCAACATGTATTGATTGCAATACTTCAGAAACAATCCATGAGTCTCCTAAGGCTGTGTCAACCAGCTCCAGAGGTTTGTCTTCCTTGTAAAGTCTCCATGCCTAAACCATTTTGAAGCTCAATAAGATTAGATTAATTTCTGATTATGGGAATTAGATTATTTTCACCAAACTTACATGCCCGAGAAGGTTATCATGGTGATCTTGATGAGAGAATCCTCTGTTTTTCTTCCCACTCACAATCTCCAACACCAAAACACCAAAGCTAAATACATCTGATTTCACTGAGAAAAGCCCATTCGCTGCATACTCTGGAGAGATGTAACCCCTGCAGAATATTTGTATCTTAGTGTAGAATGATATTATAGAGGATATGTTAAGCTACTACACATGCATTATGATTAGTGGCTTCTTACAATGTACCAACAACTTTGTTTGTGTTAGCTTCGGTCTCATATTCTTTGAACATTCTAGCCAAGCCAAAGTCTGATATTTTTGGGTTCAAGTTGGAATCAAGCAAAACGTTGCTTGCTTTTAGATCTCTATGGATTATTCTAAGCCTGGAATCTTGATGGAGATAAAGAAGACCTCAAGCAATCCCATTGATAATGTGGTAGCGTTGACGCCAGTCGAGTAACAAGGAGTTGTTTTCATCTGCCACAAAAAAAAAAAAAGGAATTTCTTTTTAAGTTTGTATTACGTATTTTAATGATTTAATCAAGTGTGTGCTATTATATAATCTTGAGAAGGGCCTACCAAATAAAAAAGAGTCCAAGCTTTTGTTGGACATGTATTCATAAATCAACATCATTTCTTCTCCTTGTATGCAGTATCCCAAAAGCTTCACAAGATTCCTATGCTGAAGCTTGGCAATGCATTTAACTTCGTTCTGGAACTCAACAAGGCCTTGCTTTGATGTCTTTGACAGCCGCTTCACAGCTATTTCTCCTCCTTCATCAAGCACACCCTGAATATCGTTTTTAATTCATAGGTCAGATGCACTTACTTACTGTTCATATATCATTGCTGATTGTTGTTTTGATATTGGAGTTTTTACCTTGTAAACTGCACCGAAACCTCCTTGTCCTAGTTTATTGTGGATTGAAAAATTACTGGTGGCCTTGATTATCTTACTCAAGCTGAACAAAGGTAGATCAGAATCTTGCTTCTTGTTCTTGTTTGCTAAAAAAGATTATATGAAACATGAATGACTGGTTCAACTTCCCTAAATCTATACAAAGTGAAAGCTCAGAACTTGTAAGATGCCCTCACCTTTAAGACGTGATTTCTTCTTCCTTCTCCAAGCATATAGTATCAGTGCAAAGCCAAGCATAACGACTGTGAGTACTATTGACATGGCCACTTTAAGACTCGTGTTCAACTTCTTCTTGTCTGCTTTTTACCCATTCAAAACGTTAGTGGTGGTAGTTGTAGTTAGTAACAGGAATGAGCTTACATTAACATGATTAGGAATAAAATCAAGCATCCAAGCGAAACATAAGCAATGTAATGAGTGAATGACAAATGCACTTACGAATTAAGTTGTTGGTGGTGGGCTTTTTTATGTAGATGTTTTGCCCTGAGGAATCTGTTTCCGAAGCCTCTCTGATATCAAGCAGCTCAGTTGAATACTGTAAACATCCACTTCCGCCTTCTCTAACATCAATATTTGCATAAGCTGTACAAGAGACGTTGCGACTGCAAAGGATCCCACATTCGTCAAGGGACATGGTGCTATTGAACCATGAATCCCGTGAGTCGGGCAATTTCAGGTTTGTAAACTTAATGAACCCATTTTTATCGGTAGTAGTGATGTTATGCTTACACCCATTTGACCATTTTGCAGCAGACCATTCTTCTGGCAACTTGGGTTCAAATCCTTGTAAACACACACACGCTGGCGAACGGTTGATGTTACAGCTTCCATAAGGACCACATAAATCGTAGCGGTCACAGATATCACGAGCTACAATCATATATACATCCCATGCTTGCATTATAGGCATCCACACAAACTGCGTGAAACTGCCCTGTTGATGGAGTATCATCCTTGTAAGAATTGAACTGTTAAATCCTGTGTATTTGGAGTAAATCTCCTCGTGAGTAAAAACAAAGTCAAACGCGTATAAGCTGTTTGGTCCTACACCCAGCATTCCAGTAAACCCTTGTCCATTCCAAAATCCAACCCTCTGTTGGAAACTTGATTCATCTTTCATAGTATATAATTGTGGATATCCACTGATGTCCATCCAAACTGTATACGAACCTGATGAAGGATCATCAGAACTCTTCCATGATGTCAAGTTCCTTTTTCTGCCCGTTACAAGGTCCACGCCGATTTTCATTCCCGGTAGCCAAGTGTCTCCAGGATGATCAAAGCTTTGCCAAATGATGTCGCCACTGACATCATCTCTGATGACAAAATTTCCAGAATCCAAAAGCTGTGCCACTGGATTCATATTTGTCCCCGGTTTGGAGGATTGGGATGACCAAACTGAGGTATTGCTAACACTGAGAAGCTCTAGCGTACCCTTGTCACTGATTTTGAGCACACCCGTGGGGTCAACAAATGGCACCTCTCTATTAGCAACCCATACGATAGTAAGTTCTGATATTTGCTTATACCATATCCCCAAGTGCCGAAAACGTGAAGTCCCAAGTCCGAAAAACCCTAATTCAAAAACTCCAGCTTCTGAAACAAGGGTCTCGCCATCTTTGAGGCTCTGATTTTGAAACATGGTGTCTATTGCACTACTAGCTTTCAGGATGATGACTAGAGCATACAAGTAGAACCAAATCATGGTAAGACGATCCATACAATCCAATCTGATCTTCACTCTACAATTAACATTTACTCTGTAAGCCTGTTTTATGTTTTATGTTTTCTAGAAGACTTGAGTGCATGAGTTTTTCTAGTTGCCATTGTGGACTTAGAAAAGTCTTTCCTCTATTTATTTAGTTTTCTATCAAATGGAGGTTTTTTTTCTTTTAAAAATTAGGTGTGGGACTATGTACTACACGGGTTTATTAAAAATAAAAAGTTTAATGTCAATATGTAAACACTAAACATTTTATAAAGTAATTGAAAAAAAAAGTAAATCAATGAGTTTGTAGTATTTATGTGAATTTATTCTCAAATTAATAAAAGAAAAAATATTATAAATGGTCCTTGTGGTTACCCAAATTATGAAGTTTCGTCCCTGTGGTTTAAAAACCTCATAGATGGTCCCTGTATTTTCAAGACTTTTGATGTTTGGTCTTTATTGCTAACTCCGTTAAGTTTTGTCCGATAACTTAAGGGCATTTTCGTCATTTCACTACCACAGGGACCATTTATGATGTTTTCACTTATTAAAAAAGAAAGAAAAAGAATGAAATAATATGAAAAAGGTCTCTCTCTCTCTCTCAGGTTCGCTGCTCCGGCTGAGACTAGGGGGGGGGGGGGGGGGGGGGGATTCTCCTTTTTCTTCCATTGCCCTTTTCTATGTAAAGAAGAACTTGGATCTGTTACTATGGCAGCATCTTCATATGGTTAATAGTAAAAGTTCAAGTACAGATTTATAAAAAATTAGTCCTGATTCCCAATTCATTTACTTTTCAGTTCTGACGGAACAACCATATCGTTCCTTTTTGCTTCACTTTCATATTTGTCGACAGACCCAGACCGTGTTGATTTGCGATTATAAAGCACAAGAGTGGTTAACAATTATAAGATGCAATGGATAATCAGATTTCTTGGATTTGCATCTACTACAATGGTCATGATTATTCTAGCTCCTTCTCTCCAATCTTTTCATCCTGCTGAAGCCATATGATTTTCTCATACTCATTGATGGGCCCATTCGTCTTCCCCATGGTCATAATCCAGGCAACGTATCCTCCTTTCGTAGAGCTTCTACATTCCGTAATGCCACTGGATGTGAACCAAAGAGAGGTTCAAGGAATGTATGCGATCTGTCTCTAGTCCATGTTGTGATTACTCTGGATTTCAAGCATTTAAGAGGGTCAATTGTTGTGGTTCATTCGATATTGCAACACTCATCATGCCCGGAAGGAATAGCACCAAAGATTTCACAAGAACTAAGATCAAGAAACTTAAGGGTTTGAAGATGAAGCCCTAACCAATTTACTATTGAACTTGGAAGTGAGAATCCTGAGGCATTAAACGAAATCAATTTGGTGAAATTGGCAAGAGCATCAACTGAAAATTTAGGGTTTCAACTCCAAAATGGGGTTCTCTTAAATGGGATAGACCGGTGTTGATGTTAAAATGTACTTCAAAAGAACAACAAGAAGAACAGTAGAAGCAAATTACACTTCATGATTATTGTCTCAACTGAACAACCAATTGTTTGCTCATCTACATTAAGCTTTTT